CTTGCACATTCTCTTGTCCTGTGCTTTCGTTAGCTTCTTGTGGTTCCACTCAGAGAGGAATTGAAGGGGCGTCACTTTCATTTGTGCTTCTTCTTCCCCCCGTTTTCGTCAAGGGAAAGCAGAGAGAGTGGCATCAAACAAAATCATCTCCCCGTGCTTTCCCTCCTTTTACCCTTCTTCCTTCTTCCTCTCATGTCTTGTTTGCGACAAGTGCGGATGGACTGGTGGGGGCAACTCTCAAAACTTTAGAGGCATTTTCAGGGTGGCTTCTGGTGCATTTGCAAATGCCGCGGGGCCCACCTAAGTCGTTAAAGAGCTCAATGGCCCAGACCCAGTCTATGGTTTTGAGAGTCTTGAAAGCTCGCCACGCAAGCGCATGCTGGAGTAAGGAACCGCGCGCGGCAAAACAAACGTCAAGGGCTGAGTGCTGGCACAGGACCTGTTTTTGGCTATGAATGGCTGGGAGGCAAGATGCGGAGCATGGAAGGGACAACCAGGTCCAGTGGTGGGTATAGGGTAGGCGACCTGAACAAAGGGCAAGGGGCAGCCTCCTCTGATGCAGCAAGCCGCCTAAGCACAGCTCAGGCGTTCTCGCGCGTGCTGCAACGCGGTGCTCAAGCTCTGGAGCAAGGGGATGCAAGCGGTCAGTTTCGACACCTGGGCTTTGGAAGCTTGCGTGCCCAAAGGGACCGCAAAAACAACCTGCAGAGGCCACATGGCTGAACGGGCCTCCTGCTTGGAGCGGTGCAGGATTTAGCCCACCGCAATGGGTCGCATCATCGCCGGCAGTGAGGTGGTCGTCACAATGAGAAAATTGAGAGGTCCGGGCGTTGGCGAGACCAGGCAGGGCTTGGGGGTGCTTAGCACGCAGTTTTGCCATAAACCAATCGAGCAGTGAGGAGGGCAAAAACAGGCGCGGGAGAGCTCGCCCCGGTAGCGTCCACCGCTTGGCCCCATCCCGTCAAGGAGTCTGCAACACAGCTTTGAGTGAAAAGTTTAATCTCAATCTGTTGAAACTTTTTTCGTAAAGGGTTTGAAGGGGAGGCGAAAGAGTTTGAACAGCTTCAAGGTTTAAAAAACGGTGAAGAAAAGGGTAACAGCAAGTTCGAACGGCTTGAAAAACGCCTTTGGAAGCTTCTTGAACTTTTCAAGATTTTAGTATCCTCGAACTTGTTCACATCCCGCTTGGAGTTGTGCATGTCTCAAGTTTTTTAAACTTCTCCAACTTTTCAAACATTAAACGAATGCTGAAAATTTCCTTCTCAAGTTGTCTAATGTTAAAATTGCACAGCCCCCCCCTTGTGCAGATCTTATTGTTCGACATGTTCAAACTTCGCGAGAAGATTGAAAACCGCGCTTTCTAAAAGTTGAAATTTTCCAAGCTTATCAACTTGTTTCCTAAAGGAAAAACTGAACAGCTTGCAATACCTGAACATGGTTGATTCTAAAGGCGAGGTGAGAGTACTTGAAAAAATCGACAAGCTTTCAAAGTGCAACAGTTCGACCATGCATTTTCTAACGCTTCGGAAGTTGTTGCCTCAAGCAAAAGCTTGCAGAGTTTGGACTTGTGTATTTTGAACTTTCTTGAACAGTCCAAACTTTTTCCTCCAGACAAGATTGAAGAACGCTGGAAAAGCTTAACAGCTCGAAAGATTTTGCAAAGCCATCAACTGCATAGCGGAGGCGAAAAGTGCTGAGAAGTGAGACAAGCGAAATGCGTTTTCAAACTAGTCAAGCGTCTTCCTTTCAACAAACACAAAGTTTGGAAGTTGAAAAAAGTTTCTTACTAGTTGTCGAACTTGTTCGCATCTTGTTTTTGCAAACTTGCCAAATGTTTTCACTATTTTCTGAAAGAAACGATAGAGACATGTCTGAAACTGTGAAAACACCTTTCTGAACTTGTCCAGCTGTTTAACCTTGTCTAACTTGTGAAACCCTTCGGGATGATTTACTACGTTCATTTCTTAAAGCTTTTTTGAATCTTTGTACGTTGGAGAAGCGCTTTTTCTCAAACCTGTTGTGTGTAAAAAGTAAACATAACAGGCACAAACACAGCCGTCAAATAAATCTTAGAGGAAACGCGTACATATGGGTATACATAGCGGTATAGTGTGTTATCAATTCCCATGGTACACAACGATAGGATCCTGCCTTCTTCGCCCGGAGCTCCTTCCCCGCCTGCTTCAACATCTTGTTTCGGTTTTCTTGGGCACGGCGTGTGCGGCGAGGCTTATCTGCGAGGTATTCAGCAGCCATCTGCATCGACTGCCGAAGAGCTCCTTTGCCGCTTTCTCTTCCTTGCTGAACTTTGGCGAAGAACTGCTGGATGGAGCCAAAATCACTCAAGAAAGTCTTGGCAAGTTGAATCTCCACTCCGGCCTGCGAGGCCAGCCTGTTGATGCGCTCATCTGAGCCTGGACCTTTGAACCGGTCTGGGTGTCTTCGTTCTTCTACAGTCATGGCCAAAATGATCTTTTCATATCCAGTCGGCAAGGATGCGAGAGGACCAGTGTTCTCCGATGCGGTCATAACCATTGAGGTCGCAATAAAGTCCTCAAAATTCATGCGTCCAGCAGATACCCTTTCTGCCACAACTTCTGCAGGGTCAACTGCCATTTCTGAAATGATCTTGTCAAGAACAGATTGGACGCTTTGCGGGTCTTCCTGGACTTGCGCCACAGATGCAGGAGACGAAGTGGCTCGGTCATCGTCTATGGCCCACTCAGGGGCCGACTCCTGTCCACCAAAGGCGTGGACTGTACAAGCACGAGATCGAAGGCCATTGCAGCTCGAGACGAACACTGGCCTTCGGCAGTGCACAAGCAACCACAAGAGCAGCTCGTTGTGTAGTACGATCAGTGAATTTTTCAAAAAGCTGTACCAGCGCGTTGAGACTCTCCCCCCAATGCGCTGCGCAACAGGATCAAGACTTGGCCCCCTCCCCACTTCCGTGTTCCGTTGTCACTGGCCAGTTCAAACACATGCCATTTCCAAAGTAAACTATACCGTGATCACCTAAAAAGCGGCTTGGGACATTATTTCATACTCATGTTTGCATACACGCGTGCCGAGCATTGATGAGCTGCGCAGTCCCAAAACATCAGACAACGCAGTAATAAGAGCACTGGTGCTCATGATATCTCCTGATGCGCAAAGGGGGTGAAGGCCCAGGACGCATCAGCCATCATCTGTTCGTACCTCCGGCGTCTTCAGGGCCAAACGGCGCAGCATCCCAACATGCACGAAATGCACGACATTTACTGTGTTTCTGCACGTGCTCACGGGTGCGCGTCAGAAGCATCAGCAGGGATGGCTGGGCCCGGGGGGAGGAGGACGCTCAAACAAACCCGAAAACCCAAAAAGCCGGAGCCGGTACCGGCGCACGCAATACACCTTAAGCAGGCAGCCGGCGCGCACGAGTGTGCGCACATGCAGGGGATTGTGTGCTCACGCAGGTGGGCCTCCACTGCAACAATTCCGATATAGCTGAAACTTCGGTAAACTTTTTCTTTTGGTTCCTCGGATATTCCTTTTGTCGACTTGGCAGATGGCACGATACCATTTGTATGTTTCAGAAGGCGGCACTAACTTTCCTATCTGGTTAGCAAAGTAACTTCGAAGCTTGCAATGATGTTCTGCTGGACAGGTTCTCTTTTGCAGCAACAACTTTTACATTGGTGCTGAAGCTAGCTTAGTTTGCAACTTGGCTGTTTACACTTAGAGTTTTCGGACGTTCCCCAAAAAAATAAAATCAACAGCGCCGGAAATACTCATGCTATTTCATCGACGCAGCGAACCTCCACTGTAGAACGGCGGCCAATGCCAACAGGCAGAAACTTCTGCCCAATTTTCGCTCCATTCAAGGGACGGCGCAGCTTCAAGTGAAGCAAAGAAGCTAATCCTCAACAAGCTGGTGTTGGGCTGCGCTGCTGGCAACAGGTGCGGTGCAACTTCTAGGATCACTGTCTGTGTATGAAATGCATCGCGATTCTAAACATAGCGAGCCACGACCAGCAAAGCAGCAAAACAATCAACATAACCATATGCTACACGATGGTGCCAAATGCTGCCAAACAAACTTATCAAAGCAGCCGGCTACGAAGCCAACTTCGTGCCTGGCCGACATTCTAAGCTCAGGAATCACTGACTGAGTCAGTATTCGCACACATTGGTACACGACAAGTTATAGAACAGCTAACTACCACAGCCTCTCTTTGAGTGAGGTAGCCGTCTTTATCTTTGTCGAGCATCCCCTCCAGGCAGTTCAAGCAGAACTCAAGCAATTTTCCCAATGTTCAGTTGTCAGATGCTCCATGGACTCTAAGGATCCCGCGAATAGGACTTCACCCTCCTTGCATCGCCAAGATGCCAACGATGCCACCTTCCAGCTTCCGCAACACGGACATAGAGAGCACATAGTCCGAGTACAAAGTGCAGCACTCAGAGATCAAGGTTGCCGCGGCGTCCCGCCTCCGTGCTCGGCTCCGACGGAGTCGGCTGCATTACTGCTTGCGTCTTCAATCTTCAACGTATAGTCTAGTACAAGCGGCTTCCTACAGTGGCACGTCGAGCTTCTTCCTATTCCTACGGCTGCTTACCTCGGGCCCTGCCTGGCCACTCCTGCTAACAGTTACCCTCTCATGGCCTGTTGGGCACTGTCAATACTAGTGACGTTCCAACGACCGCTATCATACACGGCCATGTTGTTCAGATCTGTTCAGACGCTGCCCAGATCTGCTGGACTTAATCCACAGCTGAACTTGGCAACACGTTCATTTCGCACAGCATGTGAGAACCCTTTCTAGTTCACAACGAACAAGGCCGCTCGATGTGCTCGCCGGTTCTTGCACGTTCTCATCCCAAGCCGCGGTCTCGAGAGGGTCTGTAACTTGAACTGCCGTCCAACATCAATAGACCCGGCGAAAAATCCTGCGTGGTGGAACGGAGCTCGCCATGTCGTATTGGCAAATGGAGCTCAGGGCCATCTGGGCTGCTCAGAATCACAGCCTGGCCCAGTCAAAATGGCGGCAAGATAACAGGGCAAAAGCATGGGCAAGTGAAGAATACCTAATAAATCAAAAGCACTAACACAAGGAAAAGGAAGATGGGCATAAGCATCGGCCTCCTCGCGGCCGTCCGTCTCCGCAGTTCCGCCAATGGAGGCATCCGGCTCAGGGGGCCAAGGGCCGTAACCTGAGAAGAGCCACAAGACACGAAACGATCCCACCTATTGGCACGCAGTGCTTGAGCACATTTTGCCGTGGAACCAAGGACCATGGAAGCCAGGAACCCGAATATGGGCAAGTTTTTTGTAGTCATGCGTCTCCGCTATTCCCCGTACATGAAGATGTGCCCTGTTCTGTTCATGCAGGGTTCACGTGTCTCACATCATCACTGCAAATGTGTTGCACATTCTTCCGCGACCAAAGTGCTACCTCGTTCTTCTGTTGTTCCTCGACCTTGCCTAGCCGCAGGAATCTGCGATCCCTCCACGGAGCATCCGCGCGGAGCTTGAGCACGGAGCTTCCACGTCATTCAGAGTCAGTCCTGGGCATACCTGAACCGCGCTAGGAATATGCGGCTTGAAGAAGACCTGGCATTGTCATTGTCTACATGTGTTGGAGATAGGAGTGCACGTGCTTCCACGAGAGAATATGGGATTCTGTTCATGCAGGTGAGGTGCTCAGCACTATACGAACAAAGGCCCAACATAGGGTGAACACAGGTCCAAAGTGGGCCAAAAGAAGCCTCATCAAGCCTCATCAAGCCTCATCAAGCTTCATCATGGCTCAGCTGCTCACGGCAACGTCCCTGTCGAAGAGCTTCCTCGGAGACTGAGAGAGATGCAGGCCGCAGCCAGAAGACGGAAGACGAGAACTGGAGCCAAGGTGGGGTCTCTTTGGCCACTCGTTTGACCTGGCAGCTGTGACATAGCAAGAGAGACATCGACACAGATATGCACGGGCCTCTTCGGTGTTGATGGCTTCCAGGCGCAACAACAGCTCAGTCAGAGGAACACCTGCCATGAGCTCACTTGAGAAGAAACATCTGGCAACAACACTGTTAGACTCTTCAATAAGCGTAGGAAGAAGCTTCAGGCTCCAATTCTGAGTAAAGGCGTGGCATTTGCTTGGATGGAAATGTGTGAGATGCGTGAGGCTGCAGCTGCAAGCTGGCTGGGAGCACGCCGACCATAGACCAGAAGCTGGCGGCCGATGTCCTGCACACTGACAGAGCGTTGTGACAGGCACCTGTTTATGTGGAGCAACGACATATATGCACCCAGCACTCACACGCTCCCCCCCCCTCCACCCCCTCCCCACTTCTTGTGATCATTGGGAGCCGCCATGGCCTCTGCAATGGCGGTGGTGGAATCCAGGCTGCCGAAAAGGGTGGTCTTCAGTTGCCTCTTCCCTCGCTCCACCTGAGTCTGTGCTGTCCTGTGGATTCACGTAAACTTGGCTCAGGGCTCGGCACCTCCTCCTCCGTTACAGAAAATGCCAGGTTGCTCACCTTCATGAGTGATATGGCAGGAAACGATCTTTTTCCAGCAATTGAGGCGCAGGCCGCAAAGAGAAGCTCATCCAGATATCCGTCGAGAGTTGCTTCATCGCTCTCTCCATACACGCCAAAGATTCCTGTATCCTGACATGTGAATGCGAGACTGTGATAACACACGAAACGCACGAATCGACAATCGGCGGCAAAGCTCACTACAGCAAAGCGCGGGAGTCCACCTTGTAACAGGTGTTGAAAGCAGCAAACGACTCCGCACCTAGCCAATGTGGACAAGCAAATGAGCGCATGCTGCGTAGGCTCCTTAATCCCATACCTTGGGTTTGTGGTCAGGGTCAAGGGTCCCGTGGCTTAGAGCAAACCCCTTGGACTCCTTATGAACTCCTGTTTAACGCCGAAGTCAACTACAAAAACCATGCTAGAATACAACAGCAAACCAGACGGAAGATACGTCGCCATGCAAGTTTACGAATTTTGTGTGTTTAGTGATTCCAGTGGTCTATGGACCGCCTAAACCCTCTAGACCAACTAGACCAACTAGACCAACAACTCTTCATGGACCCTGTATGCAGCTCCCCGTCATAACTCTTGACCCCTTTTAAGCCCACTTTTCACCCCTCGGGAGTGTCTTATCCATGCTTGTCCCCTATGACCATCTACGACCATCTGCACCGGGCCAACTACTTCGATGCTGTTTTTGACTTGGTGCAAAGGCGAGAAGAAGTTTGACCTTCAGCAGCATGCATGCACCATCGTCTTTGACAGCTCGGGCTGCCTTCTAGTATCTCGGCGGAGGGAATAGGGACACGAGGAATCCCAGAGCTGGCGAGGAAAATGCAACTCGCGGGAAAGATGCCTGCTCCAAGATGGTTGGCCACGCTGTTCGTGAGCCTGTCACCCGCACAGTTCAACCACTCCTGAAATCTGAACCAATCTTCTCGAGTATGCACTGGCACAGTAGGGGCGCAACCGATTGCTCGAGAGTCGCGCAGGCACGAGCCCTGCCAGTGTATGTGAAAAGTTTGCACAGTGGCCGTCAGGATCGACAAGGGCTCCCCGCATGTGCCTTCGTTCCTTTTGTAGTTTCCGATGATGGTCTGCAAAACCTTTCATGTTGAGACTTTGCCATCACACGAGAAGAAAACACGGCGCATGTCGCTCCATCTTCTTCGTGCTGCTGAGCCGCCATGAAAGTCAGCGAGTCCGGATGCGTCCACGGAACTTGGTCAGGGTCGAACTTGCAAAAGATAAACTCGGATCCAAAGTGGACATGGTGATGCTAGTGGGCTCCAATCAGTCTTACAACTATTTTTTGCTTGTGCAGTCTGGTGATGAGAAAAGTTCAGGCACGCAACATCTGAGATCTAAGCCGTTTTGTAAAGAGATGCATTGAGCTCCTACCAAACGACGACGTACGTCCGTCTTTCTCGCAACACTATTGATGGGATTGTATTCAGTCTCAACCAATAACTCTTTGAGTTGAACTCAATCCACTACTGAAGCCTTGATGTAACAAACCTGTGAGGCATTCCTTGCAGTTCGCTTCGCTCGCAAAGAGGAGCCTTTCCTGGAGATAGAACTCATGAAGGATAAGGGCCATTCCTGCGGTATTATCCGGCTTGTCATCAAATACTAATGAACGGGCTTTAAGGGGGGCCATGGAATTACTACTAAAATACCAAATTAAATACCCCTTAACATCACACATGTTAAGAGTAATCATTGGTGGTGTTTCTTTCTTGTCGTCTACACGCTTCACTAATAAATTTATGATCGTGAGCGGCTCTTTCTCGCGGCAGCAGTTCTTGTATTCCTGAATCCTGGTGTCCTGAACTGCGACGAAACAGTTTCTGAATGGCACAAAAACGAAAAAAAGCACGGATTCGGAAACTGGCAATAACACGTGAGTCGAGAAACTGGACACCCAGATTCGAAAACTAAACACACGGATTCGAGACCTCTGGCTAAATCTATTCTGCTATGTGGTTCGTGTCTCTGTTCACCTGCGTTACAGTCAACCTGGTGCTGATATGTATCAAACATCGGTTTCATGCTTATCAGAACCAATGTCTCAACACTGTCCCCCATCCTCTCCCCTCGGCCAGCAGCCCCCTTCGTAACCGATGGCGAAATGCGCTAAACTCTCCTGCCACGAGTTCGGAACATGGCGGGGGCCACTCTTGTCTACAGCACATGCTTGCGGCAGTGCCTCCGTTGAGCCATATAGCAACTCCGCCCCACAGAAGGTTGCCTTGCCCTGGGTGCACAGCACACACTCGACAATCTGTGGTGTGTCTATTGCGAGAGCGCACACACAAAGAGAGAATCTTCCATGAGAAGAGGCTTCTCAGCGTCCTCATTATGGTGTGGGAGGTTGGAGACACACACACACACACACACCGTGTCGAGGCCTGTTCCCGCTGTTGGCCATTGCTTGGCCGGAAATGACCTCGAGCTGATCGATTGGCTGCTTTGCGATTTTGAACTTGAGTCTGTTTGACAGAGGTCATGACAGAACAGCTCTTCGGAGTGACGCACTAGCTCCCCATGGTCTACAGGTCCAGCTGCCGCAACGACCTGCCAGCATTCTTTTACACCGGATGTAATGGTATCAATTCTTGCGAACACGAGTCCTCGGCTCTGACCAAAAAACTTGAGGCACCCACAACGCGATCTGCAAGGTAGTTCGTCTCAACGTACGTTCTGAGCTGCTCCCGGGTGATTGACCTGACACAAATTGAAATAGAGCAACACACCTGTACGTTCCAACGATCTGACAGCTGGGCTGGATGTTCTCTACGGGCCCAAGTATGGTATAGCCCAGCCTGCAGAGAATGTTTGCTGTCATTGATGCACGCCTTGCACAGATCTGAGCACCCAGGCGGACTGTCATGGAAGGCTGCGAGGTGCAGACGGTCAAAAATGACCTCGAAAAGATGCCGAGGAAGATAACCCGAGAGACCACTCCAATGATTCTTTTCACTGACATGACTGACGTGCAGCATCTGAAGCCTCCTCGGTGGTCTTTTCCACTTCCTCCATTTCTCGCAGGATGACCCCTCTCTCGAAGTCGAGATGTCCCCTGACGAGCAGAAGAAACAGGCGCTCGGTGGTTGACAATGCTCACACTAGTATGCTCATATTTCCTCATACAGCCCTCTGCAGTTCGCAGCCCCAAGCTGTCGGCTGGTCCAGAGTGGAATGCTGCAGGATATCTGCAAGGATGTCCACACCTGCAAGTCTGTGAACTCCTGCGAGAGCTCAAAGAGCGTTTTGTGCCAACACCGGGCTGATGGCCATTGCGGAGGTCGGTTTTGAAGCACTTGGCATAGTAGACCTGTCATCACAGATGAGGTATGTTGAAGTTCTGCAGTTGCCCTCACAGCCGGACCGTCTGTTCACGGGAAGTGTACGCATTCAGGTGCCCCCCCATGTTCTCGATCTCCTTTGCAAGCAGCTTTTGGAGATGGTTCAGAAGCTTCGAAAAACGGCATGTCCTGTTCAAGCTGAATCCGGTTTCTTCGCTTGGTGCCTTTGAAGGCCATGTGCTCCAAAAAGTGAGCCGTGCCATTGTTCTCCTGCAGTGTCGCAAGGTGTAGATGAGGCCTTGAGGCCTTGATGCCTTTAATGTTCTTCTACGTCATGTGTTCGCTTGCCGTCCTTTGTCTCGAAGCGGCTGCCCGCATCGATCCAGACACCTACCGTGACCGTCTCCTGGCAACTTGACAACCACGTGGCCCCCAAGAGATCGCCAAAAAGCATGCAAAAACTTGCCGGGCTGTCATCAGGTGTGTACTGAGAGGCGACTCTCATACCACTAGGAAGCGTTGTCACCTGCAACTCCAAGACAAGTCCCCGAGAAATTCCAACACAGTTGTCATTCTGAAACACTCGCTTGGCACCTTCGTTGGTGGTTGCTGGTAGGCGGCCATCTCGCCCTGGAGCGACGACAGGCCTCGCCGCCGCAGCGCCCGAAGTGGCCTCAATTGAGTCGCGAGGAAACTTTCCCAGGAACGCCTGCGAAAGTAGAGGCACAGGGGGGAGGATTGGCTAAAGGGGCCTATCTTGAACTCACAAACGCAGGCTTCGGAAGCAGGCCTGGCAATGTGGCTTCGGAACATGGCCTTGCAAGTTGCGCGAGACACCGTCGAGACTCGATCATTTCTTCGCGTAAGAAAGACGCCTTGAGATGCCTTCGGGATGTGGCTCAAGCCGCCCGGAATGCGCCTAATGCTGCCTACTTCTCTGCTTCTTGGCGTAAGGACAGTAAGGACAGTAAGGCAACGAGTCTATTGTGGTATGTGTGACAGGATACCAAGAACTCTAAAGAGAAACGCCCGGAATGTCTTTGTATGCTTGGATGCACATCTGGCCTGAACTTGCCAGTTAGCCAAGTCAGCAACACATCGGGTTCCAGGTTGATCATGTGATCAGTCATACTCATCAAGGCTGCACAAACATGAAAGCGTCTACCCGTGCCCGTCCTGTTCGGCGGCATGTTTGTTTAGAATACCTAGGCCGTGTTCGCGGCTGTTGGAAAAACCAGCCTGCTGGGGCATGGGCCCAGTCTTGCTTCGCAATCTCTGGTGGACCAATGCACGAAGGCTGAATTCTGAGGCACAAATTGACAAACTCAATAGAACTCCAGAGCTCACCGCTTTACCACTTGCATCTGCTCGTCTAGTCACTTCAGCCTAGCCTGTGGCTGTATGCTGGCCGTATGGAACATATGGAACCACTCCAGGCTTCTATTCTGTGTGGGGCTGTTTTAAACAGTCCCCAAGCAAACCCTCAAGCAGAGCCTAAAATGCAGTTGACGAAATTATTGGGCTTCGGCATGGCGCGATCATTGAAAAGATGCTACGTGCACAGTCTGTATATCTCCGTATTTGGAAGTTGGCTTCATGCTCTGCTTGCATGGAACGGGGTGAGAACGATAGTTTTGGCAACTACTTCTCCGACATTTGCAAGTCTTCCACAGGTCGCTGCGACGCGGATAAAGAATTGAATTCATTCCTAGCTGAGGGGATCTTCATGCAGCAGCTCGTCTCGTAGTGCACTCACATCACGTCATCGTACCTTGGGGCCAGAACCCACAGCAGCGTTGTTTGTGTTTCGCAGCAATGCTGTGTCTCCAATGGTGGTGAATGCACTGATGAGGCCAGTGGCTGGTGACGTCCAGGCGCTAGTTGTATGCAAACTTTGGCAAACATGGAAAGGAAATGGGTCGAGTCCAATTGGCTTTGCTGCACAGTACCGGGCACCTCCTAGCCCTAGACTCGAAAATACCGAAGGATGTGATGACTTGTCCATTGAGGCCGGGAGGGGCAAGCCAGCTGCACGGGCTGCTCAGGCTGCTCAACGTGGCCCGCCACAGCCCGTGCATTGGGTGTGCCCGCAGTGCCCGCAAGACAGCAAAAACTGCAAAAAACAGGCCATTTCGCGCTAAGCAGGTGTTTTGGCAGACCTGCATCCGATGCGGCAGAGAGCCTTCAGCCTTTGGAGCTTCTTGCCGCCTCGGGCATGTCTGCAGCTCAGCTGAGCAGCAATGAAGACTTGCAGTCGCCTGCCACTTCCCAACAGAGCTGTTCAGCGTCTGTTTGATCCGTCTTGGACCCTGTCTCGCGGCAAAACCTGGCGCTTCTTAAGCAGCCTTTTCATTTCCCTGCTTGGGGTCCCTGAAGCTCGACCAAACTCGCTTGGCTCTACTTAGCTCTACTTTCAACCTGCCCGACCGTCGTCCAGTCACCACCAAAAGTGCTTTCAGCTTTGAAGCTGCAGAAAACAGCCGAGAATCACTCTGTAAGCCTCTGACGAGAATTTAAACTCACGCCAATGGCTGCAGCGAGCGAGTGCAGCTCCTGTCTTAGCGACTGCACGCCTCGCAAGCATCCGAGTGTGGATCAGGCATTCCCAGTCTTAACTACAAGACTTACTGCACACGGCTGCCTGTCTCCACAAGATTCAGCTGTCGGTCGATGCTCCGCTCCATGACCGTGATTTGCTGGCGACCCTGCGAAAGCCCAGACATCCGCCCAAAGAAGCTCCCTGCTGGCATGTTGCTGGCATGTTCAGGCGTTCATGGGCTTCCACACAACACAACCGTGGCACCACCTCCTTTTCAGAACGTCGCAGCTCACAATGCACCGCCATGATGTCTTTTGCCTTGGCACTGCCTATCACCTGCCACAGGGCACAACGGAAAGCCTCGCGAGGCATGTCATTCCTGCACATCCCAAGATCCCACTCTTGCAGCTTGCAAAAGGCACTCCGTGTTCCGATGTCCGCTCGGAAAAAAGGTTTTGTGTGGTGGACAGGCTGCAGGCGAAGGACTCGTTAGACCGACCGACGATGACTTGCAGGGACGATGACTTACAGGAGTGCTGGGTGTTGGTTCGGATGTGTGGAGTTAGTCCAAGTGCGCCATGCTTGGGACTCTGTTAGGTGTATGCCTGGTGCAATATTTTACAGCCCCATACGTTTCTCATCCTTGTGCAGGCTTGGGTCGTTGATTCGAGGATTGCGGCCGAGGGTGTATAGCTGCCACGCGTTCTTCAACAAGTGTTCAATCAACACAAGCCCGGATGTGGTGCAGCCTTGCGCCAACGAAGCGAGGCCAACTTGCTACACAGTAAAACATAAACAATCAGGAGCAAAGAGAACAGTGCTTTCCACACATTCAAGTGGCAGATTGCCCGAACAGTTGGGCCTTCAGGAGACCTCCCACAAACTCAGCCGCATCCAGAGAGCCGCTGCCGTCATAGTCCAAGATCCTGGAAAGAAAGGAATGGAAACTCAGAGAGGCTTCCGTGAAACTGCAAGGCAAAATCCTGATGCTTAGCATAGTTGAGCTCCAAGCGTGAAGAGGTACTCAGCTTCGTTCGGGTCAATGCCGATCTCCTCAAAGTACCTGTCTCTAAACTCTAACTTGAAGGTGAACCACTAGAAAACGGTACGCTCTCTAGAAAGGCTAGCAATGGCTTTCGAACTTCGCCACGCTTTCATGCCAGGCTTGCCTTTTCACCTTGGGCTGGCTGATTTGTTCCCGAAACTCCTCCCGGGTAAGGACCTGAAGCTGGACAGGCTAGGAGACAGAGTGTAGATCTGCATCATCTGCCTGGTATGCCATCAAGCATGCCACAGTGGCATGATGCCTAGCTTCACATCTTCCATCTAACTGTATGTAGGGTCATGACTCCATCCTGATTGCAGTCACCATCTTGAAACACCTCGGAATCTACGAACGAGAGTACTGCCCGCATGGTACACACATCAAGGAGCCTTGTAGATCTTGTCATAAGCACGACGGAGATCTTCCAGCCTTACAAAGCAAGTAGCCAACGCACTCATCAGGAAGCAAGACTTGAACAGTTGCCAAAGCATCACGCCGCTTCTCAGCAGACTTCAGCTTGCTCTGATCTGCCTGGGGATCTCTGCATCTCTTAGACTCAGAAGAACAACACGGACCCCACACACAGACTGCCCTTTATGCTCTGTCCTCGTCCAGCGTGCTCTCGACAATGACAGCAACCATCACATTGAGAATAGCAAAAGTTGTCACCTCATCGAGGGAAGTTGCTGAGAAGTTTACCAGCTATCGTTCTCAAAGGCCCGTGCATGCAGGTACAGGATAAAGAATAACGAAAACCATGGCTGCTTGTCCATAACCTGAAGAGAGGCATTGCGTGGCCGGAAATTAAGACAGAACACACAACACTAAGCCACCTTTCTGGCAATGTCTGCCCATCCTTCCGTAGTTGTTGCTTGGAAGAGCGTCAGCATGCTCCTTCACAGGCAGGACTCTCCTTCCTCCAACACTCCATCAACACTCCATTGAGATTTTGGAGCGGGTTGCCTGCCAACGCGACCAAAGTACTCGTCAAAGAAAGGGTCGCCTCTTCTCAAAGTACCCTCACTCTAGCTGTGGCTACTCGGTACTCGGCTTTGTTCAAGCTAAAACATGGCCGAAACGAGCCAGCATTGCCTGAATGGGGCTGCCCAATGAGACGAGTGGAAACAATGCTGAAAATGTAAATCACGGTTGCCAGCAAAACCATCCTTGTCAAACGCTGTCTGCTGCACATGAATGGCTGGGCGATCTTCGGCAACGAAGGGTGAACTCGCATTCTCAGGACTGAGGTCTCCGCGTCCAAAAAAGTGTCCAGGCTGCATTCAGAATGCCCTTCACGAGCTTCCATAAACCATCCAGGATACGAAGAAGCCTGGGCAAGACTCTGTTCAAAGCGCCGCCGAGATCATGCAGGCATAAGATCCAGGCCTGAAAACGCGAATTACTCTGATGAGGCGCAGGAGGCGCAACACCGAAAATCTGCTCAGATCACTTGTGTTCCTTGCAAGGATGACATGACGGAAAAGCAGCCATATCAACATGTCTTTGCCCAACCCGGCCTCAATGCGAAAGTCAATATGTTGTCAACCTTATCTGACATCACCAGAAACTCAGAATGAATGGTGTGCCCACGCTTCCGCTGAAAAAACCTGTGGCCCCGGCAATGGAAGCTGCAACAATCAGCAAGTCAAACAAGTTCCTGGCCAAAACAACCAGCATCACAATGCCGCTTCATGTGCGCAGACCAAACAAAATGCCAGGGCTTCCATCCGCTGTAGAAGAAATACTTCACTGGTATTGTTGCCTTGATGCATGTGCAAGGCACTGGCCCGAATGGCTTGGGTGCCAGGGAGCGCAGTGTGACCCACTAAGGAATCGGCGATTAATCGAAGAAACAGCTCAAGCGCAAAGATCACAGAAAAGAGTATCTGGCACCAGCGGTGAGCAATCTTGACAGAAATCGTGCACTGACAGCATGCATGCCTCGAATGCCGCCCATATTCCACGCTCACCGCCCTGGTTTGCATCGACCTCTATGCCCATGTAGACCTCAAGCTCAATGCTTGGGCAACTTCTTGTGATGCTTTACGGTATCGGAATGTAAAGCATTCGACGGCATTGCTGGTGATGATGAAGGCGACGGAGAAGTGGAACGGACGGCTCCGCACCACCTCGGAAAGTGGCTGAGTGACTGCAGCCTCTGCAAGATGAGAGCAGCACGCGTGTTCTGCACAGCTCTGCCTTGAGCAGCCTTTTGCGTGTGGCAAGGCTGCAGACCTCAAGCCGAACCAACTTGAAGACAAGGAGAACAAAATCGTATTTCCCCAACCCGTGGACCTTCTTGAGGCATCCAGGATCTTGCTGCTGCCGTTCCACATCCGCCGCGGCTTCTTCTTCCCCTCGAACTTGCATTGCAAAATTGGCTTGTTCCTGCCATATTGAAAGATTTGAGCAACACTCACCGTGTATTTACACACTGCATGCCAGCAATCAAGACTCCGCCAGCTGAACCGCCAGGGAAAGCCTCCGTCTACCAGCTGCATGCCGTTGATGTGCCTAGGCAACGCTTGCTATCCCACGGAATCGTGCATCAGAAAGAGTCATTCTGACCTAAACGCAACGTAGTCTGGGACATGGGCGTGATCATCATCCTTGCCGCCCTCCTCGCTGCCTCGCGAGCAACTCCACAAACACACACGCACGTACACAAAAACAACTCTTCCACAAAGCATGTGCTTGCGCACATGTGGTAAATACGATCATGGCCTTGGCTGGAGCTTGAGCTCCCAGAGCTACTAAAGGATGCTGACCGTCGGCTGGCAGATGCGCCCCACGGGTCCTCCGCGCCTTAGAGACAAAGTAGGATCAAGCAGGTCAACGGCAATTCGTACCAACTTATCACGGGCAGCTCGAGAAGTGTCGACTTGGCAAACGACGCCCGCTGTTCTCTGGCAACTGCCCTGGTATGGGGAGGACTGAGTGCATGCCTCAGCAGCAAGATGCTCCCAGGCTCAGTTCTCTGACGTGACACACAGCCAACGCTTAACGTAATGGCAAACGGCAAACATGCACGAGGCCGAAAGATGAAATGCAAAGCATGACATCTTGGCTGCAGTACGGAACATAAATGTCGGCAGAGCCAGGTTGAGGGCCCGGAGCACTACATTCTTATTCAACCAGTGACATGACCTCTACTTCGGGATCAAGTCTTCGTGAATTAGCACTTGATGACTCGATGAGAACTTGCAGTGGGGGTGAATTCCACATATCTGTCGCGGTGGGGGGGAATGATTCTTGGTTTTTGCAATGTTGGGCAACATGAAATGATCTCCATTTTCTTGCCATCGTACTTGCCTCCTAGTTGCTACAAGAACGGCAAGTCTTATCCAGCTAGCGGAATTAGATTGCACATTCTTACAACTAAGGCTCCGACTTGTCTCTGCCATGACATCTGAGCCCTGTGAAGGCTGAGTGCCAAAGCTGCCTCCAATCATGGGGAGAACCAGCACAAATCAAACGGATAAAGAATACCAAAGGCAAAGCAGCCTCTGCAGCTCTGCGCAGTGCAAGACCCTCATGTCGACTGGACTGTGAGCCAAAAAGTTCCAGCCGCATGCCGCGTTCTAACAGTAAGGCAGAACGTGCGTCATGCATCATGTGCGGTGTATGTGCTACACGCTGATCATTTTGGTGAGACTACAGAGCCCACGGGTGAATATCCAGAGGATGCTCAGGCCACTGTCCTGTTTCCAATATCTTGCCAACATGTCACCGTGAACCTACATGCACAGCTCCTGGTTGATCGGTTGACCGATAAAGAACAGTACAGCAACTGAGACCATTCGGGACAGCGCTCTCAGACCTTCGTGTGCAGGGAATCAAGCCTGCCTGGCATGGGGCTTTGACCAATCTTAACAGCGGCAAGGACCCACTGGCATGTGAAAGCCTTAGAAAGCCACCCCAAGCATTGCCTTGGGTTTCAATCAGTTTTTACTCAGTTGTCCAAAACAGTCTCAAACGCCTCAATGAACCACAAAACAACGACATCTGTGAGCTTCTTATGAACACGAAGGCAATACATGTGACTTTACACGTCTTTCGTGATGCATAATTAACTGCCAGTATCTCTGGCAGGTCACGAATATGAGCAAATCATTCTTCCTCATTCATAGAGCCGAATACTACGCCTGCACACCTGCGTATGCTACCATCCTTCGTTAGTCTTGCTATCATCTCCGATTTGCTCATTCCGTCTGCTCCGTTGCCTGTGCAAGGCAAGCGCCTTCGTCAAATATCATTGCCATGATTCCAATCAAAGAATGAGAATCAAAGCTGCACTCGTCATAGGGTTGCCAAAGGAGTGACTGCACCACGATGATCAGCCATCTCGCATGCGGTTCTTTTTTGTTCCATGTTTCTTAGCCCACCTCATCCTCCCAAACCATCCCAAATTCGTTGATCCACAGTGATCCCTGTGAGGCCTTGCATCCAATCCTGTGGACTGCATGGACTACAAATTGCGCAAGATTGTACCAGTGCACCCTGAAAGCCAATCCTCATTGAGCTGGGCGCCAGCCCTTGTGAAGACTAATCCCACGCAAGAAGTGGCCTCACGGAGCCACCTCCGCTTCCTGCACATCATGCACGTTCTGAGTCTCAGGATGTCTCAGGGCAGGGGCCAAGAGATGAAGCCTTGGCCAGCTCATCTTCCTGCGAGCGCAGTCGAGCGCTGGGGCGATTCAATAAGGCGATTCCGACTCAAACTCGGCAACATAACAGCAACGACATGTAACGACATGCCAAGCTGTCCGCTGCGTTCCACCAGTTCTCGCTTTCCAGGTCAGAAGAAGGTGCAGCATGTCTTGCCCGGCCAAAGCCAATGCCTCACGTGACTCGTGCGAAAAGACAGCTGTGTCATTAAAGTGCAACTGATCCATCAGCTTGAGGAACTCGGCGTGCTGAGATTTGTCACTTGTCGTCATGTTTCCTTCCCAGCTCCCAAAGCCTCACAGGGCCTTTCCCCGGACAGGCCCTCAGAGTTGCGGTCGCATTAAGCGCAGTGACACGCTTGCAAGGCGATGAGGGGAGGGACGATCACCCGGAAGCAAGCCGCACAATCCGGAAAATAAGGCAGATCGGTTGGGGCCACGGACTTTTCAGAGGCCGGGGCAACGGGCAGACCTCCCTAGTCGCCCTAGTCACTCATGTGAGCAAGCATATGCCTTTGTTTTCTTGAAGCACATCCCAGATCCACGATGACCCTCGGACACTCCCAGGCCGAGGCGTCCCCTCTTGTCAACCAGGCTTTGCTGAGGCTTGCCACGCTTCTTCTCTGCATCATACACCGTGTAGAACTTCCTGTCCGCAGCGCAGAGGCATGGAGACAAAATGCACGGGTGCGAACCCATGTGGACACTGCAACGTGCTCAAGAGCATGCCACGGTCTTTAGCACAGGCTCGCCGAGGATGAAGAGCTTGGGTCCTATAGGCTCTGGCCTTGACAGCGATGCTGAGAGCCACATAGAGCCACCAGCTCAAACGAAACACACATGCACACCATCAAAGGACCGGACAAGTCCATCACCATCAGCATAGGTTTGCACATCATGTCTCGTCGAGTCGTACCCTGCCAAGCAGATGCTTCGGTGATGCAAAGAAGAACACTTCATGGCATATTTCATATTATATACTTCATGCTGTTTCTTTCAAGAACCTCGGCAGGACTCTGCGGTTGGCCCCAAGCTGGTGGATGCACTTGCCCTTTCTGATCGAGTCGGCTGAAATCCTGTCAGAAATTGTCAGAATGTCACTGGCGGATACTGGCGGCGTGGGCAGCGCGCACGGGCTAACCACAACAAGCCTCGCCGTCTAAGGTGAGTGTGAAGCCATCCAGCTCGATTTTGAGCTTCGGGCTTTGCCTCAGAGAGCGACACGCAATGTTTGAGTAAGGCAAATACAAGTCCAGGCATCCCGCACAAATCAATACTAAGGCTGCTACGAGGAGCAGTCGCCCGACAACGATGCCGGAGCCCTCAAGGAAAGAAATTTCGCCAGTCGCTCTTTGAACAGAAGTCCTTGTGCCTCAGCCTTTCATACAACTCAGGGAAAATGGCAGTCGGAACTGCCAGGAGCGATGTCCCAGAGTCCACCACTGCCTTCAGGCAGCCCAAAACGCCCGCATAAAGTGCTAAAGCGCCAAAGTGCAGAAAAAGAGTGCACCTTGCAGCCCTGACTGCAAAAAGGAAGTGGTTCACCGTCGATCCAGATCGCCTGACACATCAACTTGAGCTCAATCTGGTCTTCTTCAGAAATCCTGCTCAGTTACAACGTACGCCACACACCTGGATTTGGAGCAGCCAGTGGCCCAACTCTGGATCAAGAACAGGACTCCAACTTACCTCGAGCTCTCCACCACCAGCAAACATCCACAAACGTTGCCGCGTCATCAAATCTAACCCGGCCTCTTCTTCCAAGTGTTCTTCAGCCCATCCGCCCATCGTTATTTGGCTGGTCTGAGACACTTATTATGTTGCTCAGTTCGTGCAGGACCGAAATGACAGCGACAAGACTGTGCTGAGACGTCCTCTTCGTTGTGAGTTGCCAGGAAGATGCCGAAGGTTTTGCTGAAGCCGCTCCCGCGACTAGGCTCTACTTCACTCCCATGCAAGTTGCAACTGTCACTGCAAGCGAAGTTTCTCACTACTTGCATGTGCCAGGCATATGCCAGGCCCCCAACGTACTTGTCAGGCCAGAGGCGACCTGGGCATCATGCAGCAACATGTAGCAATGTAGCACCAAACAGCAACCTGCCGCATCATACAGCATGTAGCAACACGTAGCTATACGTAGCTACAAACAGCGTGCAACAAAAGCGCAATGTGTACAGAGTTCACAGAGCCCAACCTGGCCTGCAAGAAGTTGAAGGCTGATGTCTGAGACAGGCTTTCCAGGCCCAAGCCGAGAACGCCGTCGAACACGAAATCCTCGAACTTGACAAATTCAGAGCATGCACCAAACAACACGAAACAAAAACCAGCCCAGGCACTTTGAAGGGATCTGCGGACATGTCCTCAACAGTCATCCATATTGGGGCTCACGTCGTATGATGGCTATGATTTGCAGGGGTCTGTGCCAGGCAGGCACCCAGCAAGGGTCATTCCCGCGCTGCTGTTGGAATGCCAGACTTGGCACAAGCCAATCCACATGTTACATGACCCTTAGGCCCCTTCTTCGGGAAGGCCAAGCTGCAGTGGCAGCAATAAAGCGCATACTGACGCAGTTCTCGCCGCCTTGTCCTGCAGACAAGTGCAATGATTCAAGTCACTTGCGCACCAGCACAGATGCTTCAGCACTGCCTGAAACCGGGACGTTAGTGCTGCTGGTGTCAAAGCCGGGACCACGCTGTCCAAAGCACAAATCATCCTTGGGAAGTGTCGGGGCCGAGTGACTCTTGGTACAGCTGAATCTCCAGGCACCTCCATGAAAACGCCTGTCACGTCGCCAGTGCCAAAGGACACCTTGCAGCCACGTCCACACAACTCAACGGTAGTCAGTGCCAGGTGCAGCTAAGCTACCGTGATCTGGTCACGAGCTTCACCGGCTTTGACCTGGAGAGCCACAAGGCTCAGGCAGCTGCACGTGCAGACAACACGAGGCTGGCACCACACGCCCATCCCAGTCAATGTCTCGTGCTGTGCTTGAAGAGCTGCGCCGATACCTTGAAGTCATGGTGGTCCCAAGAAAAGGGCATAAGAAAGAACGCCGGCTCGCCTGCGATGCACTTTGCAGGTATCAGTGTGGCAATACCTCACAGATGCGGGTCACAGCAGGGCACATGACAACGGGATGTCATAATTGTCGCACGAGCTCGGCAGAATCAAGTGCCCGCTGCCAGTGTCGAAAACAACTGTGAAAGGCCTGGGCCTCAGCAACCAAGCAGGTCCAAGATTCCAAAGTCGGGACTACCATCGTTTTTGCAGGAAGAAACACACTGAGCACTTCATGAGGCAAAGGAATCTTAGGGCACGGCGGGTTGCCAACCATGATTGTCCCATAGTACGCACTCTTGTAATGCACCACATCATTGATGATGTCAATTTCCTGTGGGCTCATGAGCTGGCTCCACACATGCACAACGCCAACCAGCACTGCACACGACACACGAACGATTACTCCGTGTTGCCGTTTCCAATTGGGGAGCTAGGGGGGGATTGGGAGCGATTCGGGAGGGGATTGCAGTTGGCTTGAAATCCAAAAGAAGGATTGCTAGAAACTTTTGGGCTTCGAAAGTTGAGTCTTGAGGCGTCCATTCCACGCTCTAGCCCCGGCGCAGCGAGCCAGCTAGCCAGGGTTCGATACATTTGCAGATGCAAGCGGCTCCAACTAGGTAGCAAGGCGGACCAATCCCAAGATATCCTAAGATTCAGGGTCACCTACGAGAAGACTCCTTACAAAGAGGCTTCGTCTTCACATGGGAAAGCCACAGAGCCACACGGTTGCATTGGAAGAGGTTGTTCAAGGCCGACACTAAGCAAAGCAAACAGATACAAAACAGTTGCATATGGCTGCAAGTTTCCCAATGTTTCAACGGGAGACAACTGCGAGATGAAACCGAACGATGTTGGAGCAGTGGCGTGAAGAAATAAAGGAACGTGACACACTCCCATTCTTTCAGCGCAACAAGAAACCCCAGCCAATGCTGCTTAGGGAATCAAACACACATGTTTCACCAGAACCGTAATTCGGGTTTAGGGCTGTGGGTTGGGAACCTTTCATTCACAAGGGTACCTAGAAGGCTTTAGCTCGAGGATTTAGGGTCAAGGTTTGGTTTAGGACCCTACTTCTTGCTTTGTGTTGAGATTTCACTCATGGGTATTCAAAATTTATCGTAGACAATGTCAGACTGTGTAATTGTCGTGCTCCAATTTGGTTTTTTTGGTCTCCACGGGCCTGATATGTCAGTTTCGGGGGCGCTGACGGCGCAGGACACTGAACTCTAAACCCTAAGCACGGCCAAAATGCTCTAATTTTACGGGCTTTACGGGTCTGTGTTTCAGTTTAGGGCGGAAAGCTTTTGCAGTGGTTTACTTGGGCGTTGGGTTGAACTGTCGAAGCTTTAACAAGGCTTTTAAGGTTGGGTTTTTGTGGCTAAGATTCAAACTGGAAGCCTGGAAATCAATCAAGGATGAAGCTTGGCATCATTGTGCAATCCTTGCGGCTCGGCTTTCAATCATTGACTCATGAGCGGTGCGAAAGCTACCATAAGAAAACTGTCAACACACTGGTTGCGAATTGGGCTATCTCCATTTCGGGCACCGTCGTGCGTTTCTCAAAGAACCCTCAAGAACCCTCAACATGCTGATTGCGATTGCATTTTTCAACATATTCCAGGCTCCGTCTGTCGCATGTTGCGGGAGGCTGCCTGACTTCAGAATTCCAGAATAGCCAGGCGATTCTTCCATTTGAGAAAACAACGGTTGGCTGTGCTAATCCTTGCTTTCTGCAGTGAATGGAAGCTACAAGCAATCTTTGCTGCTCAGCGGAGCACTTCAAACCGATCTGTCCACAACGAAAAAGCAGCAAGCCGGCAACACAACTTCTCCATCATGCACAACCTCCACAATTTCGGCCCGAACCCCATTTCAATCATCGGCGACTACTTACCGCAGGAGGAAAGATATGATACAACATCACACCACATGCCAAACATGAGCTCGAACCTGCTCAGATCTTTCCAGATTCAGTGTGATGTGGCCCTCCGGCACATTGCCGGTGTACTGCGAAACCTTGCAAGTCAGCTGCGCTTGGGGCCTTCAGCGGACTTCACACGTTGAATCCAGCCTCTTTCCGCTCTTCCAAAGAAGACTCGTTCCTGAAGATACTTGATTTGCATCTCTTTTTGCAGCAGCGGCTGCGCTTGGACGCAGCTTTCACTGAGAAGAGTGCAAAGACACGGTCTCATTGAGAGATATGTATGGCGTTTCCTCGCCAAGATCCAAGGAACCTGTTTTCAAGATTTTGCCCTTTCTCTGCTGCTTGCACAAGGACACCAAACTGCAGAGTCTGACGCAAGACTGGTGCAAGCAAGAGGCACCAGGACGCCTCACAGTCCCAGACCTGCAATACGAAAGTGCACATTGAACATAACCACACACTCTCTGGAACATCAACTAGGCTACATGCAAAGTCAAACCGTCTAGACTCGACTTCCGGCCTGCGGACGTTGTTTCTCAGTGAAGGAGGGCGAGCTCGATGACTGCAAGGCCTTTTTCACCACATACGTCTCACTCACCAGACTGATTCGAACAGGCTCAAATTTCGCTTTAGGCTCAGGATCTGGCGGCAGACGCGATCCGTTGGCGGACACTCAACAACACCTGGGTTCTGCCGACAATCGTACTTGCAACTTCGTGGGTTCGGCCCACCTGCATGGGAGAAATGGCAAGGTCCTCAGCGCTCCGGGCTGATTGCAACGACCAAGTTTCATTTTCATGCAGGATTGAGCATGTATTGGGCGCGCACTAACCTGCTAATCAAGTGAACACGTGTAAGGATTGAAACGGTCTCCTGCCACAGCGAAGTGGCATGACATGTTCCAAAACTATTCCAGCTTCCTTGTCCAGCTTCTCCGAATCATAAACCGAGCATCGGGTGTCGCAGCTGCTGAAAAACCCACATCAACATGGGTCTCCTCATGCCAAGACATGTCAAAAAGATACATGTACATTGCACGGTCTCGGTATAATGTATGGCGTGCTGCCTGGATGGTGGCGCCTGCCTCTCGCAAGTGCATCAAGCACACCCCCTGAGCGGCAAAAACTTGGTTTAACAAGCTTGCTCCCACATCATGACACACATGACTGTGCTTGCTGAGATGATGACCATCAGCATGAACGTAGCTACAACAAGAAGGTGGTGCCTTGCCGTGTTTGAAAGCTTTGCAACAGCACACGAAGCACTGAAGCTCAATCAAGCCTTTTGATGTTATCACGGCCACACGCGACCTGCCAAAGCCACGGCGAGAAACCCCCCAAACAATGAATTGCATTATCAAAAACAACGGCCTTTCGCACATGGTCAACATGGCGTTGTCGTGAAGCAGCGTGAAGGCAATATGGAATGGATACACCTGGATCAACGTTGACACAATGCCTGCTCTAAATTGACATGTTGTGAAAACAGAAGCTGTCCTGTACAGTCACTGTCGAATGCAAAGCATTGCTGCGACATCAGGACCTGTAGCAAACAGCAGCCGAAGAACGCATGAAATTAATTTCACCTTTTCTGAGACTCTGGCAAGCTAGTAGACAGATGTGTGAATCGCGTATCGGATAAACAACTGGTCCTGGGCACAAAAGCTCGCACACATCACTTGGACCAACACACGGCCCAGCACACTACCCAATCAAGCCATGTCGCGTCTGCGAAAGCAGATCGCCAGCTGACAGTAAGCTGGTCAGCTCGCAGAAGGGTTCGAGCTGAAGAAGGCTCGCTTTGCAATCATCAAACAAACAAAACCAACAACCCGAACCTACTGTTGAGCGACACGATACACTGCCGAGACGCCATTGTCTGAAGTCACTTCGCTTTTCAACACAAACTACGAGTATGAACATCTCCAACAACAAAAGAACTTGACCTTGAAACCCATGCTATCCAAACTCGCAAAAGAACAACATAATGATTTGAAGAGCGTGAACTCCCATGCTCACGCCCATGCTATGAATGAATTGCCGAAAACCCTTCAATAACAACAACGTCCCCACATGTTTAAGACGTTGGGTTGGGGTTTGAGCTTAGGATGGTTCTAATTTGTGGGGGTTAAATTTGAGGAGGCGCCTTGTTGTCCACAGCTTCATGACAAACATTTTTTGATCATGCAAGCCGTGTGCTAACTGAATCCCGCGCGCATATAACCCGAAACCCCAAGTCGATTTTGCGCGTTTAGGGTTTAGGGCTGAAAGTTTTGGCAAAATTCGGCTGAATGTTTCCAAGCACGTCGGTCTCTTCTAACTTGGCCGTTCTGTATATGCACTCACGAGGTCTCCAGTGCATGCTGGCTGGTTTGAAGTAGCCTTTTGAGCTTTTGACGGGTGCTCATTGTCCCACAACGGTTCCAAAAGCATATTCATGAGAAAGACGACAGGGGTGTGAGTGAGTGAATGAGTGAGGGAGGGAGGGAGTGAGTGAGTTGAGTGGGTGAGTGAGTGAGTGACTGAGTGAATGAGTGAATGTGTGAATGAGTGAATGAATGAATGAATGAATGAATGAATGAACGAGTGAATGAGTGAATGAGTGAATGAGTGAATGAGTGAATGAGTGAATGAGTGAATGAGTGAATGAGTGAATGAGTGAATGAGTGAATGAGTGAATGAGTGAATGAGTGAATGAACGGATGAACGAGTGAATGAGTGAATGAGTGAATGAGTGAATGAGCGAATGACTGAATGAGTGAATGAGTGAATGAGTGAATGAGTGAATGAGTGAATGAGTGAATGAGTGAATGAGTGAATGAGTGAATGAGTGAATGAGTGAATGAGTGAATGAGTGAATGAGTGAATGAGTGAATGAGTGAATGAGTGAATGGTGAATGAGTGAATGGGTGAATCAGTGAATGAGTGAATGAATGAGTGAATGAGTGTGCGAGTGAGCGAGCGAGCGAGTGAGTGACTGAGTAAGTGACTGAGTGAGTGATTGAGTGAGTGAATGAATGAATGGCAACTCGAGGGCAGCCGCGATGCAAGTGGCCCGATGAGGCTCCGTACACTTCGTTCGGGACGCGTGCAGCAGGATCAGCACTCCAAACTGGACACAATGTCATCCAAAATACTCGCGTGGCATCCTTGCAGCCGACGATGCGTCACATTCTAGATGCGGGGCTATTACAAGAAATGCACAAACTCAGGCGCAGATTGGGAAAGTAGCAGCGTA